CACACACACACACACACACACACACACACACACACACACACACACACTGGCAAGATGTCTCAGAGCGCCAGGTACTTGTCATACAAGTTCAAGGATCCAGGTTCAATCCCCAGATCCCATGACAAGGTGGAAGGAGAGAAATGAGTCTATAAAGTTGTTCTGTGACATCTGCACATGCGCCATAGTCTGTACCCCCCGCAATCCACAGTGAGAAAAAAAGCATTCGCACAGATGTCCATGACAGTTTTATTTTGATCAAATCAAAAGAGGAAGCAACACAACTGTCTACCAGTCTAGATGACTACACAATCACACTCATATAATCAAGTAATCTCTAGCAGTGGCACCAAGCAGACATGCAGTAATACCGTGTGCTGAATGAACCCAATGTAAAAGATTTCCTGCCAATGACTCGTTGTGTGTAAAATGATAAATCTAACCCACAGGCAGGAGGAATCAGACCACAGCCAGAATAAGGATATACAGGGAATGCCTGCCAATAGCAGCAGGAAGCCCAGAGCAGCAGGCTGTATGTCCATGTGGGTCAGGAGTTTGATGACTCATCAAATTAAGTGCTTCATGAAGCTGCAAAGAGAGCTTGCCTCTGCACTGCCGTGGGAGAGCGCTGCTGGTCAAACAAGCCAAATTAAAGGACAATATATCTGTGCTTATGTGCATGTTTATAAATCACTATAAAAGGGGAGTGCTATGGCAGAGCAGGGTGGCCCAGGCTTTTAATCCTCACATTCAAGAGGTAGAGGCAGTGAGTTCTGGGCCAGCTGAGGGTTACATAGTGAGACCCTGTCTCAAAAACAATGGAGGATTCTTGACAACACCCTAGGCTGGTATTAGTTCTTTGAAGGTCTGGTAGAATTGGACACTTAATCAACCCGTGCATTAAATACTTTTATGTCTATGTGTATGTGTGTGCAGTAAGTGTGTGCGCATGTAAGAGTTTGTGCACGTGTGTGCTGTGGTGTGCATATGGTGGTCAGAGGACAACTTGCAGGAGCCAGTTCTGTTTTTCCATGTGGATCCCAGGACTGGCTTTCATGTTACCAGGTTTGCCGGGGAGTGCCTTTACTCGTTGAGCTATCTTTCCAGCCGGAAGACTGGTTCCTTCTCCGTTCTTTCAATGATTTGTTTATTCTTATTTTTTCTATGCATTGTGTCTGTGTGAGGGTGTTGGATCCCATGGAACTTGACTTACAGATAGTTGTGAGCTGCCGTGTGGGAACTGAGGTCCTCTGGAAGAGAGATCAGAGCTCTTAACCACCTAGCTATTGCTCCAGCCTCTTCTCTTTCCTTCCTCCCCTCTGTCTCTCTCTGTCTCTGTCTTTCTGTCTTGCTCTGTCTCTTTCTTTCTTGTCTTTCTTTTTTTATTTTTTTGAGGCAGGGTTTCACTATGCAAATTTGGACAGCCTGGGGCTGACCATGCCACGTGGATCAGACTGAACTCAAAATCTCCACACTTCACCTTCCTCCCAAGTGCCAGGAGTAAAGATGGGCCCTACCAGGCCCAGCAGGTGGGGTCTTTGGGGGATTGTTCTTTACTGCTTCATTATGTTGGTTCTTATAGTTTGTTTTATCTTGTTTTAAATTTGGTATGTATATGCACTTTGAAACCAAAACAGGGGCCACGTTGTTAAGGACCCGTTGTTAAGGATCCTCATGTAACTAAGTCTTCATACCTTACAAGAATAAGTTTCTGTTTCCTAAGCCCGATGTATCCTGCAAACCATGTTTTTCAACCTTTGCTGAACTTGTGACCCATGATGTATGCCCACGCCTCCGTCTTGCTGAACTCCTGCTTTGTGCTAAATGATTGTCCTTTTGCCTTATGAAAATGTGTCTTCCCAGATACCTTGATGATGTATTCTTGAGCTTACCTACCCAACAGGCAGGCTTGAGCCCCAAGTTCCTACTCTCCCGTCTAGGTGCTAACAGCGACTCATTTTGACAGTGGTTTTCTATCAACCCTAACCCTTCCTCATAAAAAGGACCTCAAAAGCTAGTGAGGGGCTACTGTCTGAAATGCCGTCTTTGGGAGAGATAGCCAACCGGCCAGTTCTAATACAGCTTATGTAAGGGTCCGTGGTTCATGAAGACTGATATCCCAGACTCAGACAGTGTGCAACAGCAAAGAGCGTTATTCTGCAGAGAACCAGCATGCAGGGGTCCACTATACATAGGAAGGAAGACAGAGGGGTGGACTTTACGGAGTCAATTTAAAGCCTGTTAGGGTAGGAGTGGGCGACTCTTACCTTTCTTTCCCGTGATTGGTTGGCTCTATCTCCAGGGGTATCGGTGCTTTTGTGATTGGTTAAGGCTCTGGGGGATCTGGGAGAGTTTTGTTGACTAACTATACTTGGCTCAAGCTAAATGGCTGAGGTGCTTCCTTAACATATCAAAGCAGACTTGGCCTCCTGGTTCTTCCTGCATCCCTCAGTTCCTATCTGTTAAAAGGTCCTCCTAGCTGGCATCCCCTGCCCACTATCCTAGATCTTCCAACCCAGGGGCTGGGCTGTCCTTCCTAGATAACCCAACCATTTTGGTTACCTGATCCATTTTGTTTACTATCTTTTGGGTCTCTTGGCTGAGTCACCAGGTTCTCTCTTTCCCTCTCTTCCCCCTCTTCGCACGGTTCAGGGTCATGTTAACTCTGGACTCTCCCAGATGTCCCTGCCTCTGACTATGCTCTCTCTTTTGTCTACAATAAACTTTCTCCTCCACCGAACCTAGGACCAGTCATGTGCCTTTCCTTTTCTCTTCCTTCCTCTCTTCCTTTGTCTCTTCCTTCCTTCCTTCCTTCCTTCCTTCCTTCCTTCCTTCCTTCCTT